CTACCAGGTTGAAATGACCCTACTCTGAACTTGTGAATTGAGGCAAAAAGGTGCAATTAGGGAGAAGAATGATCACCGTAGTGTTTATGTAAGCAGAAGGATGCTGACAGCAAGCTTCAAAACATCTTGGATTTTTCATTGGCTTTATAGGTTATGCCTCTTCCTTGGGAGATGTGATTCACCTATTTCCTTTCAAGAAAGTTATGATTGCTTGTATGGCATTTAAAAAAAAAATGCAACACAGCACGCCTTTTTTGTTATTTGGATTAGGATTTAAATGCCTCTAGTCTTTTCAAATACCTTGCTAATTCTGAGATGTCAGCCATGTCATAATCTTTGGAAGAACACAGAGGACAAATTTAACCTCAGGTACTATAGTTCTCTACCTTCCTGATCAGGTTGGCATTTTTGAAGGATTACAGTGAAAGAAACAAAATTTTTGCAGTAGTTGATCAGAATTTATTCTGAAAGAGCAGCAGCAAACTAGGTATAATATGAATTGTCTGAGGATTTTTTTGGCTTTTAAATAGATGTTAACCTTTCATTTGAAAATCCTTGAGGATCTCATTAATGACCTTGTGCCAGGTGGCCTCTTGTGACAGAAGAGCTGTTCCACGTAAACAACTACTCTTTAAATGAGTTATTGATACAGCTGCTATCCAATATTTTGCAACAAATGAACTGGAACTGACATCTTAACGTTTGCCTGTCTTGGAACAGCTGCAACCTAGATGGGTGTTCTTTGCAGGTGAAAACTAAGGCTGCTCAGCTCTTGATGCTCAGAGGGTGATTTTGCATGTGTTGTTCACTGTATGGAAATAAATGGCCATTGTTTTGGGATAGGCGTGGATAAGGTGGAGATTCTGCATAAAGAGATAGGGTTGCAGTGCACTTCTGTGGTGTTGTCTCAGGTGTAGCATGGTGGAAGAAGCTGGTTTAGGGTGCAAAGTAAACCAACATTAAACCACTGTTACCTGTTTGTGCATAACTTTCAGAGGTGAAATTTTTGTTCACTGAGGTTTTGTTGAGTCAATAGTTCCCATTGTTTTCTCCCAAAATATATTCCAAGGCAGACTCTGAAGAAAAAAATGGCACTTTTTTGGAAAATATTTTAAAAATAGAGGAATGCTGAGACCATCATATGTGGGCTGGAAAAATCCAAAGAATCACTAGATTTATTAATATAAGAACATAAAAGCAATACTAAAGAGAACTCCTGTGAACCTCGTTTGAGTTCTTTGCCCCAAAGTACCGTTTTAACAGCCTTCCTGATTCCTTGGCTTTATAGGCTTTGGATCTTCTTCAGGTATATCCAGGTCGTCTAGAACTGCACCAGATATTTTGTACAGTGAGGGGAAAACTGTGGCAGCCAATACCCCAGGAAGTATGCTGGGAAATTTCAGATCTTTCTGCCAATGCATATCACTTCTAATTTTGGAATAATTTGGTTTCACTATGTATTCCACCCCACCCCACCCCTCCCCCTCCCTCTTTCAAATTGGGCAAGGTTGAAAAGCTCAGCACTGTCTTCCTTTATCATTTAAAGCAACCTTCTCTAACCGAATGCTCTTCAGAGGTATGTGGACTACAATATGCCAGATGGAAATTATGGGGGTTGCAAAACACCACACACTATCCTACCAAGCTGCTAGCTGTTCCATTTGCCAATCATGCCCAACACACTTTAACTTCAGCTGATGATCCTCTTTGCCTCCCCTTTAGTCCTTCCATCTGGGAATCCTAAACATCTTTAACCCAGGGCAGAGCATGCAGGGAGCTATCCAGGGAACCCAAGCTAAGCAGGAGCTGAGTTCCCAGCATGCCAGCCAATGAGTGTTCACTTTCTCTCTTTCAGACTTGCCCATCACTACTGCTCTCTCCCCCAACTCAAGAGTTTCTAAATCCTCTGTGAACTGAAAAGAGAAACAAAAGTATTTCACCATGGCCCTAATTTAGCAAGTCTTATGCAATATATTATTTCTGATGATGATGCAGGCTAGGAAAGCTGCATTCAAAGGCTTTTCCTTGAGCTGGGCTGAATAAAGTGGAGGAAGGAGGTGCAGGATGCAGCAGTGTCCAGCGAGTAAAAGAAGAGGAACACAAAACTTTGGCCATCTATAACAGAAACACAGGAGAAAATAAAAAAATCTAGTAATCAGTTGTGAGGGGCAACAGTGCACAATTTTTAGGACTCAGCAATGTGTTACAGTTGACTTTCTATTAATGTCATATGAGAAATAGGGCAACAGGAGAGGTATGCTAAAATCATTGTGTGGTAGAGTTTTATCTCCAAAACATCTGGTGATCACTATTTTGGAAAAGCTAATTATCAAGTGAATGTTTCTATAGCTGCTAGATGAATAAAAATAAAAGTTGTGCATTGTATGTGTGTGTATTATGCTGCCATACAGGTGGTCCTCACTTAATGATCACTTGTTCAGCAACCATTCAGACTTGTGGTGGTACTGAATGAGTAGTGCTTACAACCAATCCTCAAAGTTCCAGCCATTGCAGTGTCCTGCAGTCATGTTGTCATCATTTGTGACCTTTGCCAGCTTCCTACAAGCAAAATCAATCAGGAAGCCTGAAGGAGGCTGCAAATAGTGACCCATGATATCCTCACTTAATCAACCTGTGGTGATTCGCTTAATGACAGCAATCGGAATTGCCATCGCTAAGCAATGTGGTCACATGACATTGCGCTTTACGATGCTGTCACTTAGTGATGAAATTCTGCCCCAATTGCTGTCATTAACTGAGGACTACCTGTATTATATTTTGATAGGCCTATTCATATTTCATTATATTATTACAGATCTGCAAAGTTCCATTCTGTCTTTTTTTCTGTCTTTTTATTTTAGCTATGTGAAATTTTACCTAAAATGCAAGTTACATGCCTTATCATGGGCTCCTAAATTATTAACTGTCTGTTACAATCTGTGACAATTCCTTGTGATTCACTTCCCGTTAGCTACTTTTTAAAACATGCCACTGTGTTATGTCTGTTTGAAAATTTCAGAAATATTTACATAGAAAATCCTCTTAAACTTTTCTCTTGGATAAAGAGAACAAAACTGAGTTGCCCCAAGGGAAGAATTTACAAACCCACTTGCACAGAAGATGTCATTGTTTCAAATATGTTAAAAAGCAGGATTATTATGCTCAAAGCAACATGACAGATGCTAACATATGAACATAAAAACAACAACAGACAAATGTTAACCTATCTCCTAGCTATAAATAGATTTATTTTCTTGTTTTATAACAACAAATAAAAGTATTGTTTTACTAGCTAGTATCACTTCTGTCTGCAAGTGTTTGAGAATAGATGGATTAGTGCAAATGCCTTTGTTAGCAAATGACTCAGCAAAAGATCTGTGTTGTTCATACATTTAAAAGATGGTTCATTTCTTTTTGCAAGGCAAAAGCTGATACCCTGTAATTACTCCAGGGGCTTGCATACCTGTCAGAATCAGTCAGTGTTACTTAGCTCTTAGCTCTTCCTACTCTTCCTAGAACAAAACAGCTCTTTTCCTGTGGGTTTCCTGTGCAAGGGAGGCAGCAGGGATGAATTAAATGGACCATCCCATTTCTCACCCCTTACCACATTCTCATAGGCTGTCAGTGTGATGGGGCCAAAGGTATCTGTGCGCATGTGTGTGGGGCAAATGACAACATGTGCATGATGATGTAATCAAGCAAAAGTCATGACTTATGTAGTGGCATTAGATGTCCTAATGCAAATACATAATTGTGTCATTTGCATGATTACATAATTGTATTTGTTATCATTTTGGCATCACTGTGGTTTGCTGCAGAGACTGTTGTATGGAGCTCCCCATGGAATGAGGAAGGGCACCAGTGGACATGGCTCAGTTCTTTCCTCTCCAAACATCTTCATGAAGCACAGACACCTGAGGCTTCTCCCTCAATCTGAGTTCAACATGTATTACTCTAAGAAGATCCGCAAAGTGAGGTGCTGGGCACCATCAGCCTTGATGGTTTCCTTGTCAGCAGGCAGCCACACAACCAGATTTGGGCAGACATGTGCAGAGAAGATATAGTTGTAGCTGAAATTTTCCTGCCCCAAAACTGCTGCCATTCTGTGCCTGTTCTCTCTGCTGTACAAAAGAGTCATAGCTTACTAATAGACAATACATGTTGCATGTAGAAGATCTGTTCCTGGCATCTCCAGTTAACAACGGATCATCTAGTAGGAAAGATCTCTGCCTAAGATCCTGCAAAGGAGCTGCCAATTAAAATGGACAGGATAAACAGACATGTAATCTTCACTTTGTTTATATATGAAGCTTTGCTTTATAATTTCCTATATATGAACAGATTCAGTTATTATAGGAGTCTAAAAAGCTTGACCTGTGTACATATGCCCAAATCTTGGGCAACAAATGAATGTTTGTTGTTCTTCAATCAATGTGAGTAGCATGCACTGAACACAGGAAAGGTGAAAACTGCTGAGTCCAACCTGATTAACCCTTGATGTTGGTCCTGAGAAGGATTCATAAATCCAAATGTGTCTTTTCTACATTTACTTTTGTGGTCAAATCAAGTAGAAATGGAGGATGACTACATAGAATTACAGAATTAGAAAGAGCCATTTAGGTAATTGATGGTTGGATATCAGTACTAGGCATCTTAAACAAGTTAGATTTCCAGTTTCTGTGTTGGGATATCCAGAATCCTTTAACTGAACAAGCACAGTGGGTAGGATTTGTACTTGTTTCAAGATTATTAATCTTATTTGGGATAACTCTTCAATCGTACAAATAAAATGACCCATTGAGATGTTACAAATGCCATCTTTGCTATCAAGTATGCTACATGTATTTCAAGGGTTGAGCAGCTGTCTTGCACTGAGTAAAACTGTTGATTACGTTAACAGAGTAATGTCTTATAGACTACAGCATTCTAGAAAAAACAGTGTTCTGGAAGTATTTATGTATATGGAACTTGTAAAAAAGACACATTTTATTATGTTATAGAACGAAGGTCCAGGCCCAGGTGAGTATGAAATAAAGCATACCCAACCAATTCCAATACGATCATCCTTCATGTCAAAAGTACCACGGCTATTACCAGTCCACACTGTGAGTATAATATTGAAAATGGCTCAATACTGAAAGTGCTTGCAGTTATAGGGCTGACTTGGGGTTCCTGCCTTTCTTGGAGATATTCCCTATTCAGTCTTCGGATTTTCAGCTTTTTTTGGGGGGGGGGACCTATAGCACTCTCAGGATGTAAGGAAAAACATGGAGACAGTAAATGATATGTATATTCAGGTATTATTAAATTGCATCCATGGAAATTAAACATGGATATGGAGAAGATCAGAAAGCTGAACATGGTTGTCTGAAGTCTTAGAACATTTGACTGAATATACTTGGGGTCTTCTCTGAAGTTGGGCAACCTGGGAAAAGGGGGTGTCCTCAATCTTGAAAGGTCAAGATGAAGCCCAAACATAGGGGCATTCTACTCCTTTTGTTGGCTACAATGTTATACTGCCTGAATACACTTAGTATTCTGTGTAATGTTTCTTTTAGCAGTAAGCCTATTCATCCTGCTTTCTAATATTCACTGCCAGCAAATATAAAGCCACTGTGATAACTAGGCACATGTCTGTGAATTTTGTAATATTATATTTTAGTTTGGTAAATGAATACAACCCATTATCTTTAATCATATGAGTCATACCATTATGTTAGTATAATTTAATCTGGATTCTTGCACTGAGAAAAGGGTTGGACCTGATAGCCTAAATGGCCTGTTTCCAAGTCTATGATTCTAGGACTCTGATTCTAATCAACATGACTTTGGTTACGGCTGCTAAGGACATCTTAGGCAAGCCTACTATGCTGTAAACCAGTGTTGCTGCCTGGAGAATTCTGGGGGTTGAAGTCCACACATCTTAAAGTTGCTGAGGTTGAGAGACACTGCTGCAGACAGAAAAAGGGAGGGCCAAAAGAGTAAGGGATTCAGAATAGTCAGTTACTAGGACTTATATTCCCTATCTCAGTATTTTGGACGCTTGAAACATACTCCCCAATGGTGAAATTAACAGGATATTCCTAGATATTCTTCTTTAACTCAGATTGATTCCAGATAGACAGGTCCAAGTGATACCAATTCAAAAGTGCTCTGGAGCTATTCTCTTTTCCTTTTTTTTGGTAGCAAGAAATTAAAAAAAGAAAGAAAGAAACACCCCTGTGCATCCTACCATTGGTGTTGCTGTTTTCTTATGGAAGTCTACCTTCATTTATTTAATAGTGATCTTTTTCATTTCTTATTCTGTACAGAAAGTCCCTGGTCCAGGATATTATTGGCCTACCAAGCAGGCACCACAACAGCCTAGAACCATTGCCAGCCTTGGACGGGAACATACCATTTTCTTTAGCAATGTTCCTGAACTTTAGAATACAAAGCGTACTACGTTCTGGTACCTTAAGTTGTCCTTCACATCGTCCTTAAGACAAACTTGCCAGTTTTTATTCCTCTTGATTTTAAATGAATTATCATGTGGTTACCCTATGCAAATGCTATTTTATTCATTCTGTTTCCTAGCAACCTAGATTGTTTCTGGTGTTAAATCATGGCATATCCCATAACTGTGGTTAAATCATAGCATACCCCATGACTGAATATTTTATAATTTGCCTGAACTTAATTGTTCCTTGGCAGCACTATTTGCTAGATGCAAGGTCAGCATTGGAAGAGAAAGAGAACAGAGATGATTCAGTTGTCCAAGAGGATCAGCCTTCTCATCATTTTTCCTGATAAAAAGGAGAGTTTGGTGCCAGCCTATCTATATGCCATTGCTTTCTATTTCTCATTCTACCTTTTCGGATTGCCAGGGCATTGTCTATGATCAACAAGCAGCTTATTCTAAAATAATGTCACTGAAATCAACTCTGTAATAAATAGCATGCACTGGTCTCTTTGCAGAGTTTCAAACTCTGCAAAAATAGTTTATATTCACTCAAAAGACTACCTCTAATAGGCCAGTTAGGGACACCACTGCAGAATAGTGGAGATGCCTATTCATTAAAATTAAAATAATCATTACTGTAAGAAATCTAGGACTTCTTTCCTTACAATTCTTTTTTTTAATCCTGGGAAATCTTCTATTTGAGAGCACCATATGTTGGAGAAGGGGGAATGGTTTTGCTTTGGTGTATGTTTGCTTTGTTAATTAGGCTAGGTTGAGATGAGGACTGTCTCAGGGTCTCCTCATGCCCTTAATGATTAAGTTGTAACCACAGATCTCCATAAGTAAAGGCTAGCATGCTATCATTACTTCAGTCCAGTACTGAAGTCCAGTCATTGCCAACTTACTGTTTTATGGCAAGTGAGCCTAATAACTGGGATATTATGCTATATACTCCTGCTCTTTGGATGCAATAAACAAAGTTCTTTTCATTTTTGGACTTTCCCTGATGGCATGGCTATGATAAGGATTTATCAAGATAAGCTCCCAAACATCAAAGTTGACCACTGCCTGACTGCCCATTTTCTACCTGATTTTGGATGGATAAACAAAAATGCTGGAAATTGGCCTTAACCAACATGGCACCATCCAGATGTTTTAATTCTGTGGGAAATTTGGGACTTAAACTCCCAACAAGTGTAGAGAGAACCAGATTAAGTTGAGCTAAACGAAAAATTAAAAAAAAAAGATTCATTTTATAACTGAAAATGTGGAATAAAAGCGATACGAATTAGCTCCAGTGTGGACTCCATAGCCTTTATAATTTATAACAATTTGCAGAATTTAAGAATTGATTGTGGCAATAAAATAAGCATACCAGGTTTATTGATACAGGGGGGGAGTCAGTGAAGAGTGATTGTATTAGGCATGTGGAAAGGAGGGGAAGGGTCCTTTGGGGTCTAGGGACTGCACACAAATGTTTTGGAGTAGGCAGGGCTATGTCACCTATTGACTGAGATTTTCTTTTGGGAAATGTGGAGAGTGCAAATTTGAATTTTTAAAAACTATTTGAAGCCCATTTTATAGCTTACACTACAGTTGTCCTATGTTTCATGCCCCAAACTTTGGGAAACTTGCCATTAACTTTTGGCAGAACTCAAGTGGGCTCTGGAAGCCATAAAAGTGGGCTTACCGGGCTATGAGCAGCAGAAGCATTCACAGCAGAGGATCAAAGCCTTGCCCCCCTCCCTTTTTTAAAGTGGTTGCCATGAGGCTCATGTAAAAAAGGGGTGGGACTTTGGCTGCATAGTCACAGCAACCACCTTGACTTTTTTTTTACACTGTCCTGACACTGCAGCCACCCCTGATGGGTAGTTCTGGGGCCACAGATAGATCAGCTCAGTTCTACTGGCTCAGGGCTTCCTGCTGATAAATGGAGACCTTTAATCTAGGAAAAGTTCTCCTCACATCCAATCCATTGCCTTTTACACATACTTCTAAGTTTCCCAATAGTATATTGCTCCCAAAGGACATTTCTGCCTCACTTTCTACGATACTAATGGGGAACCTGAGTCAGCAAAGAAATTCAGTGGGAAGCAAATCGTTGATAAATGGAGCAAAGTCTCTCTGGATTACTAATCGTTATCAAAGGGAATCTTACGAATAGACTTCTTAGAATAAAGTATAGTCCTTTATTATTCCTTAACATTAATTTATTACCTGTCTCCTAAATCTTAATTGCACTCCCTGCCCCCCACCCATGTGGTATTAAATTTCATTAGCTTGAAAGCAAGCATCAAAGTTCAGCAAGTTCAGCTGGCAGAACCCATCAGCACTTCTGTAGTCAAGTGAGAATGTCAAGTGATAATATGTATGTGCCAGAGAGGTTGGGGGAAGCTGCTTGTTGGCTTGTTGAAAAGGTTGTGGTGGCATTTTAGCAATGTTGCAGGATTTTTACAACCCTGCAGTGAAGTCAGGCTTGACTTGAAGAAGATTTGAGAGCTGTGGCAGTGATAAATTGGTATCATGCTCCTGAGGACAAAGGCCAAATTATGTGTTGCAGAGAAGATTCACAGCTTAGAACTTTGCTTACACCTATTCATGGTATCAACATGCTCCAGCAACCTCTTTTTTGCCATCTTCTCATTTTCATCTGTTTCTCTGTGTATGTCAGAAGCAGCTTTAAGTTATCTTTAGCTGTCCTGGTTTAATAATAGTTTTTTTCTCTCTGATCTCAATACATCTGGTATGCTTCCTTGACTATTCTGCTGGGGATGTGGTCATGACTTCTAGTGACTGGGACCTGCCCTGTTCCCATTAGCTACTTTAGGTTGGAGCTGGCATGCCCCCTCTCTGCTTTGGTCCCTGTCCTTCAGAGTCATTCTGGTTTGACAGCAGGAGAGTCCAGTTCTTTCAATCCAGGCTCTACCTCTGCATTTCCCAGTCCTCTGAGCCAATATCCAACCCCAGCCCTAGTTCTTTGGGCAAATACTTGCTTTGTGATTGGTCATTGGCCATGGTGGCAGCCATTTTGTGAATGGACAAGTCTTCCATGGCAACTAGTTTGTCAGTGTGGTTCCAAAACTCTAAATATGCCCCTGGCTCAGAAAGTCACCAACTCTGCAATGGAAGTTCTGACAGCAGGTATTAGGGTGAACTTCTCAGGGCATCAGAAATAACTTGCAAAAAGAGAACTGATTTCTCTCCTTGGGAGCAAGCCACTCAGCCCTCATTGTGAAAACAGGAAGATGCACATTTGGTGTAAGCAAGAAATAAATACAATTTGTTTATGTTAAGAAAAGCAGCTTTCATATATCTCAAAGTGGATGGCCAGTGAAATGGCTCTTTCATGTTCTGTACTGAGAGGGACATGGCCAGATAACTGCATACATCTGTATTCCTCCAATCCTTGAGTTGGAAGAAAAGTATATTGAGGTAAACGATGCTGCTCCCACAGCCTAGATTTATAGCTCCTTAGCAATGAGACTGAGCAGCGTTACTGTCTTCACATAATATAATATGGCCCAGTTGATGGATTCTCTGGCATCCTTTCTCTCCCATCCAATGTTACCCATTGACAAGAAATAACCCCCACTGGCTGCTCTCTATAAAGTGTGGTGGGGGACTTTAGGCATTCCACCCAGCTTCATTGTGTGCTCCTCCTATACTCCACTAGCCAGTCACCAGAAACATTAAAAACTTTTTTTTTTTTTTTTGCCATAGATCTATTGATCTGGAAGATTGATAGTCATGTGTCAAAAACCCAGCTAGTCAATCAAACCAAGAATTCTATCACTGGGATGAAGTTCACATGCAGATCAACAGAGTTCCTCCCTGTTTCATCCTACATTCTCATATACCCTACTAACCATCAGGAAGAATTGGTGGGATTTTTGGTCATATGAATATAAAACTACTGGAGCCCTTGGGAGATGAGTAGTCCTATGGTAACAGCAGCAGCAGCAGCAGCAGCAGCAGCAGCAACAAATACCATGACCTGTTAGGATGGATGGATCTTGCTCAGAGGTGACAGTTGTCCCTCCTGTTTGGCTTGCTCTCCTCATATGCCCCACCGACCATCAGCCAAGACCACTCTATCCAGACTGGTGTCTGGTCTGTCTTGGAGCCCAAGCCAAAAAAGATATATAGAGAAGAGCCTAGCAACTGGATGGGGAGGGGACATCCTCCCAGCAATCTTAAGCCATCAATAGGAGCTGGGCAGATCCCCGCCCCTGACCACATCATCACCAACCCCATCACTAAGGTACCATACAATGGTGCTTAAGTTTGTGAGTCCTTTTCGAATTTTCAGTATTGCTGCATAAATATGACCTAAAATGTGACTTGTTTTCCACACATCTGTTTATCTGATTTGCTAAAATCAGATAAAAAGAACTCAAACAAATTAGTCAAAAACATTTTACTTGTTCATTTCTTTCTTGAGGAAAATGATCCTCTTTTATGTGCAACTTGTATGAATTATAAAATCATAGTAGCATAATTGGAAGGAGACGTTGGAATGTCAAGTCTTGTCCAACCTCTGCTTTAACTAGGGCTGGGATACAAAAACTCAGATGATTATTACAGGCAGCAAAGAGATGTGGGAAAATCTAATTCACCTGGATTTTTGCAGCACAGATCATGCTAGTTTACATACATTCAGCAAGGAGGATTCCACCACTTCCTCCCCAAGTAATGGGTCCACTATCCAACTGCTTTCACATTTAAGAGGTTCTCATAATATCCATTTGGAATCTGCCTTTCTGTAGCTAAAATCTATTATTCCTTGTCCTGCACTCAGGAACAAAAGAGAAGGGAAATCAGCTTTATGACATTTTCTAGCTACCTGAAGAGTACTAGCCTCTCTTTCCTTAGCTTCTTATTTCAGAACTCAAGATTTTCAACTTTCCCAGATTCTTCCATTTCTCCTCATAGGACTTAATTTCCAGTCCACTAATCATCCTCATTGTAACTCTTTATAACTATCTG